GTCCCTTCCAACCCCACCAGTGTGTGATTCTATGAGGCCACCCTGGGCCTGGTGGCTCTCCAATGTCAACCCAAGAAGTTGTGTCCACCTTGATCTAAGAGCTAGAAAAACCTCCCAGTGATCCCAGTTCCATTGTCAGAATCACCATCAGAGAGCAGCTCTGGAGACAACCCCAAGATGGGACAGAGCTTGAATGGAATGGTTGGAGTCTTACTTTGTTCTCTGTAGCCAGGATCACCAAGCAACAAGCTTCGACGGGAACCACCCCGCTCTCGGACAGCGAGCCTGAAGTCAGAGCTTTGGAGCTCTCAGCACAGAGACTCTGGCTTGGGGAGATCCCAGGATCCTGAGCTGAGAAAGAGAGAAGTTGTGATGGGAAGGTGGAGGCAGGGAGAGAAGATCAAGGAGACCTGGCATGGTGAGCTGCCCTCTGAGCAGGCTGCCCATGGGGAGAGCAAAGCCTCTGGAATCGGGAGAGGGGAGGTTCTCACACCCAGGAGGAAACACCTCGGAGGAGGGAGGAACAGGGAACCCAGGAACATCACCTGAACGTTGCACAGGGTCCAAGGTTCTGAATTCAAAAGATTTAGAGCTGGTTTCTGACAACTCTGGCTTCGTTTCCATGGCTGAGGCAGCCTGAGAAATCCATCAGCACAATGACAGGCTGGGAAATCACTTACTCATTTACTCTACAGAGCGTCCTTCACCACCACGGGGTCTATAATCCCCCAAGTCTCTGTCATTACATCTCCCAAGGAGCTCAGTGTTCCTCAAACCAGCCCAAAACCAGGTGGGTTTGGCACACACGGAGCTGCCAGGGACAGATCCGAGGCTCTCCCCAGGTGTTTTGAAGAAGTGAGGTGTGTTGGAGGTGGTGGGTATCACCCTGGGTATTCAACATGGACATTTAGACATCAAACATGATGATGAAATCGTTCCAGCAACCTGCACAAGGGTTGTGAGGAGCAGGAGACCAGGCTGGAGGAGCTGCCTCTACCTGTTCTCCTCGTTGACACCCACAGAGCAGGATGGGCAACACAGAATAAAGGGGGTTGTTGTGACCCAAGTGCAGGACCTGGCACTTGGCCTTGTTGAACCTTGTTGGTCCATCATCTCTCCCAGTGTTCTTCTGCAAGTCTCAGCACCCTCAGGAGATATGTGTACCCTCAGTCCTCCCTCCACCCTGCTAGAAAAGGATGGACTCAAACAACTCAAGGCAGGAGAACAGATGTAAGGAAGAAATTTTTCATGCTGAGGGTGGAGAAACCTTGGCCCAGGTTGGCCAGAGAGGTGGTAGAAGCCCCATCCCTGGAAACATTCAAGGTCAGGTTGGACGGGGCTGTGAGCAACCTGATCTGGTTGGAGATGTCCCTGCTCACTGCAGGGGGGTTGGACCAGATGATCTTTAAAAGTCCCTTCCCACCCAAACCCTTTTATGATTCCGTGAAGGACACCAATTGTTTTGGTCTGTTCTCACCCAGCATCACCTTTGTCCTGCTCCTGGCCAGACCAGCTGCTGTGGGGCTCTGCCCCACAACCTCAAAACACACGTTGACCTCAAAACACACCTTGACCCCAAAACACAAAGCAACAGCCCACCCATGCTGGTCCCAACCTACCTGTTTTCAGCACGACCAAGTGAGAGGAATCATCTCGGATGTAGGAAACGGAGGCGATGTCATGGATGGGAACCCTGAGGATCAGATCTTCTCCATCCCTCCACACCAGCTTGATGTTGTAGGCAGAGAGACTAATGACAGCATCGTGTTCTTGGGTCAGCTGCCCCGGGAGCTGGTGTGCTCTCTAAAATAAATACATTTATATTGATTTGTTGAAGATTTCTCCTTTGATAACGACCTTCACTCCCACGTGTGTACCATCAGGGTGGAGGACACCAGCTAGACCAAGACCCAAACTTGAAGAAGCTCCATAAATCTATTTTTTTCCATGCTGTATGACAGATACAGACTCTGGAGAGCTGGTGGTTCCACGGGCTGAGCGCTCACCTTGGCATTATCGATCAAGTGCAGGATTTCCGTGCGGCTGGAGGGATTCAGGTACCCTGGGATGGATGTCAGTTGACCTAAATACTGTAAAAGAAGAACCAAAGTGTGACCACAACACGGACATGCTACACACAACCCCTTGAAAACATCAGATAGAGCAAAAAAAGACACCACCCAACCCAGAGCAAAGAGTTGGTGGCCCAAGTTTTTGTTTAGAAGCTGCTGAATTCACCTGTGTGTGGAAGATCTGTCACAGCTGTGAGTTCCCCGTGGTGGTTTCACCCACA